AAAGTTATATGTGCATTGCTTTAATATGAGGAATTCATATATTAAATTTCAATGAAATCGGTTGATTATTTCTCTTTATATACACAAAAGTGTATGTTTGGCCCGATGCCTGATCTTTCCAAAAAATTTAAATGTTCATTGTTTTAATACGGGGAATTCATATATTAAATTTCAATGAAATCGGTTGATTATTTCTCTTTATATACACAAAAATGTATATTTGGCCCGTAGTAAACGCCCAGTTGCTGATGCCTGATTTCTTCCAAAAGTTAGGAATTTTTGCGTATGATCGAGCAAAGCTTATATATGAAATTTCAAGTAAATCGGTTGAATACTTTCTTCAAAATGGTGAAAAATGTAAAACAGGCCCGCTAAAAAGTGCAGTTCCCGAGGCCTGATATATACCAAAAGTTGATCGATCCGTGCCATGGTGGAAACAAACTTGCATATAAAATTTCATCAAAATCGGTTCAGCCGAACTTGAGATACACGCGTGCACACACAGACCGACAGACGGACAGACCGACAGACCGACAGATCGACTGACCGAAAGGTTGCTAAAAATAGTTTATTTACACTTCCCTACTATGGAGAAGTACGTTCCCACCGAAAACTCGATATGCAAAATTTGTTGCCATCACAAACCTACCTATTGTTTACACAATACGGTCGGTAAAAATATAACTGGGGAAATTCCCAGAATTTTCTTAGTCGCACTTTATATGTGTGTTTTTCAAAATTGCGTTATCATTAAGAATGTAAACATAATTGTATTTAAAAGTGTGTCGAAGAAAAAAATATTTGTTTTTTATAAGTTTTAGTACCAATATAATTTTTGTTTGGATTTACTTAAAACAAAAAGGTAACATTATTGCGTAAATTAAATATTAATATGTTTGGATTATATTTTGTTTTTTATTTCTGTGGCAAAAAGGAATAATCTCTAAAATCGATTTTTGCTAATTTACATAAGAATAAAAATAAAAATTTTCATAATTTTTTGTCTTGTTTTTTATAATTTCTACGAGTTACTTATAAGATCAAGGTTCAAAAGCAGTTTGTTAGGTTGCAAAATTTTCTTCTACTTATGATTGTTATTTGGTTTTTTAACTTTTGTCTATTTTGTACAATTTAAACGACAATTTAAACGACTTTAAACGACCTTTATTCAAATTTTTTTTATGTTTATTTAAAAGCTTTGTCTCTTCTTCCAAATTGTTTCGCACAAGGTCAAGATACTAAAGTTTATTTAACTTTTTGTTCCAAAATTTTATTTTCATCTAACTTGGGTTTAAGATATTAGGACGATATGTTTTTAAATTTTGCAATTTGGAATAAAAGCTAAAGTAATTCTTACTTATTATTCCTTGAGTATACAAATAAGTTCAAAATCATAAGGAACAATAAGAATATAAATAAATAAAAATAATATAAAAATAAAAAAATAATATGAAAATAAAAAAAAGAATAAAAATAAATAAACTATAATTTTGAAATAAACGCTTAAAAACGGTTTAACTATTTTAGACAATTACGTTGAAAATAATGTCTTTATATCTAACAAGTCCCAATGTTCAGAGAGAAACTTGAAAGCACGACCTTATTTTATATGGGTTTTTTTAAATCGAAGTGGCTATTTTTTAAGAAGGTAAAATTTAGAAAATATATTTGAAAAATCAAGAAAATATATTAATATTTTCATTGATAATTATTTTAAAATTAAAAAAAAAAGCGGAAAAACAACAAGCACATCCTTCGCCTTCAACGTTTTATATGTTACTGAAAACATTTCATTATTTTCATGTGAACAGCTTTTTTTTCTCATAACGTAAGGTAAGTTAACTCAAGATATAGGGAGTAACTTTGGTGTCAAGTTGAAAATATAATTAATGAATATTGATATAAATACATAGTAAAGAAAAAATTTTAAGAGAGAATTAGAAAATAATATCTAAAATACAATCAAATTCTATTTGTTAAGTACAAATTTTATATAAACTTCAAAATTTTACCTCTATTTTTATTTGAAAAAATATTAAAAACTTACATCATTTATATCAATTATCTAAGAAAAAAAAATATTTAAAATGTTTGGAAAAAACAATCATATATTTTTATGACCGGATTTGAATATTTTTTTATTTTTTGAAATAAATGGTATTTTACCAAATGACTCAAAAATTCCGACTGTAAAATAACAGGTATTTTAAAATTTTTGTTCTTTATATAATATTCTTTCCGTTTAGAATTAAGATAGGTCATACATACACATGAAGGGACATTTTATAAATAGATTGCTCTTGTTTACCTGCTAATAAAATATGAAAAAAGAACACAGCAAAATTTTTGAAGCACTCAATATAACATGTTTGAAATAGTTTTAAAATAATTAATAAAAAAAAAATTTATTGGAAGTAGGTACATACATATTTATTTTTAATAACTTAAAAACTAACTGAAATTATTTGAAACAATTTTATAAGTAACCTATATTACTTTTAATAACATTTTTGTTAGCCGACACTACTCAACTTACCTTATTGGGAAATACAAAATGTGCATGAAAAAACATACCTCCGTCCTCATTAACATTTGAAACCATACTGAAATATGAATTTCAAATTTTTAAAATGAAATTATCTTCCCTCCTACCTTTCTTTCTTTTTCGTGCAACAGAATTTTAATGGGAAGCTTTTTAAAAAATGTGTATAATATCCTGAGAATAAAATAAAATCAAATAAAATAAAATAATATCCTGAGATTTTTTAATATATTAAACTCTTTTTTACTTAAAAAAAAAGAAATAATAAAAAATATGACACGATCAGTGGCATTTAAAGAAAAAACCAGCAACAAAGCCAAAAATTCGTAATATTTCGTAAAATTAATTTGGGACTTGAATATTGAGTATTGGGACTTGTTAGATATAAAGACATTAGTTGAAAATATTTTAATGATTAAATTATACATATATTACCAATTATTCCATATGCTATTATTTCATTATTAACACTAAAATAAAAAAGGAAAAATTTTAATACCTTTGCTAAATTACATGATAGAGACACCAGAATTTTTTAGAACATAGATATGAATATGGAGAACATTATAGCATATTTATCTAATTTTCGCTAAAGTCGATTTTAGCGATTATTTCTTTTTGCCACAGATTTATTTTATACTTTTTTAATCATGTTTGAACTGTATTTTGTTTTTGTTTTTAATATTAATGTACATTAAATATGTATATGTTTTTTTTATTATAATAGTTGTTGGTTAATATTATACTTTTTTTGCACGGTTTTTAGGTCAACCTAAAACTCTTTTTTTGATCTTACACGGGTTTTTAAAATTGTGGAACACATCCTCAATTTTAATATGAGTAGCAGGTAGATACGTTCCAACGAAGACCGTGTAAAAAAAGAGTTGGGTGTATTAGTAGAACATTAACTCCGTTATGAAACAAGCACCACGTTAGTCTTCTATGAATAAATTCTTTTTGGAGTTGTTTTAGAGCAGCTTTAATAGTTGATTGTGTAGGTGAAATTTATTAATCAATATTTTCCTTAAAAATTTAAATCATTGCAATCCTTAGCTTCAATATACATATATATGAACAACTTGTTTTTTGAGTTGTATAACAGCTGTAAAAACTCTTACAACTAAAATGAAATTTTACTAACGAAAATCTAGTTAGTGCTATAAATCAATGAACTTTGTATGTTAAATAATAAAAATTCGCCTTTTTCACTTTGAAAGTAACACTCAAACAAAAGTTATAGAATTGCATGAAATTTTTCTTTGGAAATTGCACTGTTTCATGTTTAGGCAATAACAAAATTTTATACTTAGGCAACTATTGCTTGAAAAGGGTATTTCCTATACCAACCATTGACATTGCCGCTTTAAAATTTACAAAGAAAATAATTGTCAACAATATAAGTATAGGCATAGTTTCAGTTGAATTTTTTCAATTTCTGCCTTTTCAATATAAAACAAACTAAAATTGAGTTTTGTCTTGCACCGACTAAAATAGTTTACAAATAGTCATCAAAAATTTTCTTAAAATATTGAATAAACTCCTTAAATTGATTTTGTTGCGAATTGAGATTTTTGAGAATCTTTACGCTATCGACCGTGTTCTGATCTGCTTACAAGCTTCATACGGTCATCTAATTAGCTGACTCGTAAGTGCACTGCTATATACCATATTATAGAACCTTATAAGTAAACAAAATTTTTGTATGGATACAATGATCACAACCTAAAAGATTTCGAGTTACAGACACTTAAAGTCAATCTAAACTAATTTTTTACTATTTGAAATAACTGAAATCAAAGACTTCAAGGGGTATATCAAAGAAGGACGCCATATGATATTCTCGGGGTAGTTAATTTTGCAAAAAGCAATGTTAGGAAAACTCGGTTAATAAGCACTCTTGGCATATTTTCAACTTAATATTGTGTCTACCTACTCTGAATTTCAAAATAGAATTGTGACACCGCCTTTATACTGTGTCCAAAAAGTGTATCCATATTCAATATAAATGTGATATATTATGGCAAAATACCTCTTTTGCAAAATATCTCTTTTTGTGAAACTTTTAGGAAAAATGTACTTCCGTATTATCATTTGCTTTGACAAAGATCACCGGCGCAAACTACAAAAACAAATGACTGAAAGACCCTTAAGAAGTAAAATTGATGGAACTGTAAATCTCAAAATGATCTAATGCTATTCTACATACATACATATATGGATACTGAATCCATACATGTTTTATATTATCCATGAAACCTACATATTCGTGAGAATGATGGACGGTGCTTTGTTATATAATTCGAAACGTAATAAAGTATTAAATTTGAATATCTCAAATCTAAAAATGGAACTCGCATTATTAAAACTAAGTATGCACTTATGCACAACTTAATTAACTTGAAATAAGTAGACAACGAAAATATTGCAAATCCTATATAATACATATAAATCAATTTACCGTTATATGCTCATATTCATGCCATAAGTGCCATATAATCCACCACCACATTGCGGCTCCAACTAAATTAGCTCCCAAATGAGTTGCCTTAGAGTGAACAGTCGGCGCAATACGATATGATACCCTAGAATACATTATTAAACTGAATTTTTCTGTTCCTATTGCATAAGCATTTAGTAAAACAAATTTAACTCACGCGTGTCCTGAATTCCTCTGCTGTCTGCTATTCAGATTCCATATACTCTTACTTAAAACATAACGTAAGGTTTGATTTGGTATTACCTTATATAATAATGCCATTGCTAAATTAGAGTTTTTTCACTAACAATTTCTCATATCAAAATGAACCAATGCTTTTCTAGGAGTTGACAAATAAATATTTTCTGAAACTTGAATATATAGCATGAATACAGTGTTGCCGTCACACAAGAAAGGTAGCTAGATTACTCATATAAATTTTGGAACAGAAAATCGCTAGAATCCACCAAATATATATACTGTTATTTGACATCGAAAAGAACACAGGTTTTGAATTCAAAATGTCAATTCTTAGAAAATAAAATCAATAAAAATATATAACACAAAGTTCATTTTATGAGCATATATGTTTACATTGTCAATCTTCATCAACCTCAATTATGATTGAAAATCTTTGATTGACACGAAGACGCTGAGAAAGAATACAGAAATGCGCGCAGTAATATTAAAAAAGTCAAATGAACGCAACCAAAAATTTATGTTTTTAAATTTTTTAAAAAGTCATTATTATTATTTTATTGCTCGAAATTAAATAACTAATCCTAAATATAGCGGTAAAACGACATTACCGCATATACATACGTCATATTCCCATAACATGGCTGTGACAAAAGGCTTGTACCCTAAGAGCGAGTGATAGTTCACAGTAATAATTGGCAATATCGTTCCTTTCAGTGACCCGGTTTAAATGGACCACTTTTTTTCACTAACCGATTATAAAATATAGTTATCATATGTTTTATTTATTTAATTATATTACTATGCATACTTATGGTAAATTTTAAAGAGAAGAATAGGTCTGTCTGGTATAAGAAAGTTTTTATAACCTTTTAAAAGCTTTATAAAGTTTTTGCATGCAAAGCGTCTGGAATACTTTTTGAACAAAAATGAGAAAAAAATGATGACATTTTCTTTTTCTCAATGTTTATAATAAGTTTTTTCAAGTATTGTAAAGTAAAATTTAGTGTTTTAAAAACTTTTTAAATTTTACAACTCTGGAAACATGTGCCATTTTGAACAAACATTTTCTTGGTTATGTCAAAAACTTTTTCATCAACAATCATTTTTTTTTTAAATTTTTAATTAAAAATAATATAAATAATTAAACAGAATGTATTCACAAATGGTTTTTTTCTAAGTTTCACACTTTTATAATCCAAAATTAAAATTTTCGTTTTTTGGTACAACCGAAAAATATATGTTTATGTTTGATAAATCCTTTTAAATTTGACATTTGTCACATATTTAGAAAGTTCTTCAAAGTTTTTTCAAGTTTTCTGAATGTGAATTTTTTTTTCCTTTTTCCAGAAATTTCGTCATTTTTTCTCTTTTTAAAGTTTTTTCAAGTTTTATTCCAGACAGACCAAATATGTAATGAGTTTTGATTTAATCAAACTTTCTTTTATGAAAATTAGGAACAAATAGTATTTTATCCTAAAGTTACTAATAGTATGTCCTTAAGCTAATAAGATTTTTAAGTTGAAACAAGTAAAAACGTTTCAGTCGGTATAAACCAACTGAATAATACCCTACACTTTGATAATCTGAGTTTAAAAATTTGTTTTTGAAATATTTAGAAATAATTTTGATCGCTAAATGGTAATTACTTGAAGCTGCCAAACCACTCGATAGAAACTTTACGAATGTGATGTCTGATCTATAAGTGGGCACACGATGGCCTAGTTTCATGAGTTTCATGAATCTAGCCTTAATATTTTTCCAAATGTTTAAAATTAACTTTCGGAGTTGTATGGCAGTTACCCGAACCTGTCAAGCAATTCCACCAAAACTTCAGAAATATATCTGACCTGAAATTGGACACACGACTGCTGAGTTTTATGAATCCAACTTTATTATTTTTCTTAATATTTAAAATTAACTTTCGGAGTTGTATGGCAGCTACCCGAACCCGTTGTCCGAATTGGTCCAATTACAATAGCAGCCGTCCTTTGCACAAAAGAAAAAACTTGTGAAAGTTTGGTGTCAATTGCATTATTTGTTTATGAGTTATCGTGCGATCGGACGGACGGAAATACATGTCTAAATTTGCAGAATTTTACGCCGAGCAAGAATATAGTTATATGTCCATACCGAAGACGACTCCTTCAAGTGGTTACAAATTTCATGCCAAAATGAATGTACCCTTCACGAAGTGCAGGGTATAATGATCGCATTTTCTTTGTACTGAGTCCATTTTCTTTCCAAACTTTTCAGCATTGTTCTTTGTTAGTAATATTATATAATTTTTAATCCACAAAATGTAGCTTATTTAAACCAAAAAGTTTAAAACCATTTTAAATAGAAAAAAATTAAAACTTTTATTGAAAACTTTTATTTGAGACAGTTAAATAGTAAATAATTTCTTAAATTTCAAAAAATATAAATTTTAAATCATTTGAGTTTAAATTTCTTATTTTTAATAGGAAATTTATGGAATAATTATTCGATATAGAAAAAAAATTCTATTATAATAATTAGAATAAAAAGAACTAAAGAAAAATTAGTACAGGATTTAGTATACGAAATTAGTATAGGTTTTGTTTAATTTGCTGTAATCCTAACGGGTTAGAATGAAAACTTGTAATTAGTTTTTTTTAGTTTTTTTGATTATTTAAAATTTTTAGGTAAAAAACGATCATAATTATTATCCTTTTTTAAATATTTATGCATATTGTAAAAAAATATGTATATGGAGTAGTTTTTTTTAATAAGAAAAAAAGAGAATTGAAATTCTTAGTAAACAATGAACGATTCATTTTTGAAGAAGTGAATTAATCTTAGTAAACTAAGTTCAGGTAAGTGATTTGTTTTTTAAGAATAGTTCGTTCGCGAACAAATAAGTAGTTCACAGCCCTTATGGAATCTATAGAGGACCCTTTTTAATATAATAAATTTTCCACAAGATTAACTTTTTTCAAATTTTTAATTAGAAAAAAATAAAATTCAAACTTTTTCTACCTTACTAGTGCTTACGTTTTACGTGATAATAATAAATGGTAGTGATAATAAACGATTAGAAAAATTTTTTAAAAAAAGTCTTCCAAACTCTGTTCAATATTTAAAGATTGCAATACAAGAAAAAATTAGTTAAATTTTTGAAATTAGATTCGTTCTGAACGAACTACTTTTTTTCACTGACCGATTATAAAATCTCGTTCAATCTTTAATTTCGTTCATTTCTCTTCTGCGCATGTAATTGCATGTTTTTTTGGTTATAAATATATGGCTCTTCGAATTTATAATAAATTAACAATAAGGTTTGAACCGCAAAATGTTTTTATTTATTTTAAAAGTTTAAAAAAACGTAGAGAAAAATTTAAACTTTTACTTAAAAAACTGTTAATAATTTCTTAAATTTGAAGATATAAAAATTTTTAACCATTTGAGTTTAAGTTTATTATTTCTTATAAGAAATTTATAGAATAAAAATAATTATAATTAAATATTTTTATTTCTAATCCTCGAAAAAAAAAACTGAAATGCTATCATAATTTTTTTAAACTTTTGTTTAATTTATTTAATGCGTTAACTTATTATGATTTTTTGTTTTAGTTTTTTCTTTTATTTAACATATGTAGGTCAAAAACTATCATAATTATTATACCCTTTTTAAATATTTTATAAATCAATTAGTCCAGTCTTTAAATTTTCTTATTTAGGTAGATTTTTAATTTGGTCACTTTTATTTGCGACTTACATATATAAAATATATTCTCGTATTAGGTGTTTTCGAAAAAATTGGAAATGTTCATGGTGATTTTGAATGCTTGAAAAAAAACGACTAAATAAAAAAAAATATGCAGATATTGTTTTATTTCGTTTAAATATTAACAAAATTAAATTTTTTGTTCTTATTAACTAGTTTAAACTAGTTACTTATTCCAGGTAACAAATTACAGTATAATAAACTACAGGTTTTATATTTTTTAATTAAAACCAAAATAATAAATACATAACAAAATTGTTTTTGAAAAAACTACATGAGATTTTTACATAAAAAAATTAAATTTTACCCATTTTTCTTAAAACTAGTAATTTGTGATAAGAAAAGCAATTAATTTTATGACATAAATGTACCTGTGTCAACTAAATTCACAAATTTTTTTAATTTTCATTTATTGGAGATTAAATTTCATACTTATTTTAATTGTTAAAATCTTAACATTAGTAGGTACTTGTATAAATTATATTTGCCACAGACAACAAAATAAAATTTAAAGTTCTTACAAATTAAAAATACTTCAGTGGTGTCGAATTCGTTTTTCCTAATGCTAGTACACTTTTATCCCTGATGACCTCGTTCTTTGGCAAAGTAAATGTAAGTGCAGCATTTACGTTCTCCTTTTTTCGTGCACTATTGCCTCTGCATCCTTTGACGCAACACCCTCGGGGCATTTATATCACGCAACACCTATTTATTTGAGCGTACTCGGTCAAATCGGTCAATTTTATTTGTATCACGTTTTATTTAAAATTGATCAGTTCTCGTTCGTTTTTATCAAAGTATATCTATAATAAGTAGTCCGACTCGTTCCATTCCGTTAGTTTTCGTTCGCATTTCACTTCCAATTTCTAAAAAAATATTCCATTTTTATTTATAAATAGATGGTAATAAGAGTTGTGTAGGCAAGAGAGAAACAAAATATTGTAAAGAAACGAGTGTATCAAAAACATTGAACTGAAATAAAATTAAATTAAGTAAATTAAATTTTGTTATTTTTATTTTGATAATAGCAATATTTTTTTTTCATTTTAAAAAAAAATATTTATTTATAATTTTTAATTTTTTATTTTTAATTTTTTTAGGTAAAAAATTCGAATGTATGAAAGCAAAAGAGCTTGAAATTTCATGTATGAATGTACATTTCCATGTACCTGGTAGAGTACATACACAGTATCAGATAGTGACATAGAAATAAAGTAATTTATAAAGAAAAAAAGGTGTATGCATGCTGATTAATACTTTATGAAATATAATCATTACCGATTTATAGGACATATGTTTTAAATTTATTAAGATTGAAATAAAAATAAAAAATTTAGAGATAATCTATTTATTAATAATGATAAATT